CATGAATGGATGCTGAATTTTGTCGAATGCTTATTCAGTATCTATGGAGATGATCATATAATTTTTGTCCTTTTTGTTGATGTGGTGGATGATGTTGATGGATTTTCAAATGTTGTACCATCCTTGCATCCCTGATATGAATCCCATTTGATCATAATGTATGTATTTTTGATGTATTTTTGAATTCAGTTTGCTAATATTTTGTTGAGTATTTTTGCATCTATGTTTCATCAGGAATGTTCATTTGTAATTTTCTTTTTTGGTGGGGTCTTTGCCTGGTTTTGATATTACAGTGATTCTGGCTTCATAGAATGAGTTTGGAAGTATTCCCTCTTCTATTTTTTGGAAATCTTTAAGGAGGATGGGTATTACGTCTTCTCTATATGTCCAATAAAATTTTGCGGTAAATCCATCTGGCCCGGTGGTTTTGTTCTTGGGTAGTTACATATCTTCTTTTGTAAAGTTTGTTTTTTCAAATTTTTGGCCTTCTTATGTCAGGTTGTCTAGTGATAACTGAGTTGTGAGGGTTCTCTATATATTCTGGATACCAGTTGTAAGAAATATGTATTGCAAATATTTTCCAGTCTGTAGCTTCTCTTTCCACGTGCTTAATGATGCTTTTTGTTGAGCCAAAGATTTTAATCTTTATGAAGTCAAATTTAGCAATTTTATCTGTTACCATTAGTGCTTTTTGAGAAATCTTTTCTTAGGTCATGAAACCATTGTACTTCTAAATTATGTACATCTACAACTTTGGTTTAAAAGAATTATTTTTTAATATAAAAAAGGAAACAGAGCAGAGCCCTAGTTGTCAGTTATTTTCCCAGTCAGAAGGCAAGAGCTGTGAAATGAACAGCAAAATAAGTGTTTAGAAAGCATCTAGAAGCACTGTAACTTCTTCGTGTTTGTTTTGTTGTGGTGATTTGATGACAAACACTTAAAAACAAATAAAAATTAGTAGGATTTGTTTCTAGTGTGTGGATAAAATATTTTCCAGTTTGGATTTGGGTCTAAATAGAAATGCTGGTGGTGGCTATCAGCGGGAACATAAAGAGGGGAAATTAAGGTGAAGATTGGAGGGGCACCTGAAAACTCAGAATATATGGTAAGGAAAGGTGCTGACGTGAAGAATAAAAATGGGGGACCAGAACAACAGTAGAAATAGAAGTCATTTCCACAACCTTCACCCCCAAACCAAAATCTTTAGTCTGAAAAGTTAAAACTTTAATACAGCAGGTGTGTAAAGAATGAACATAGATTTGAACCCATATTTCCCAAACTTTGTGGTGTTAAAACTAAGGCCTACTACCAAAGCTTATGTCACAGATTTAGCATTTAATACCTTATGCTGCAAGGCAGGTTTGTGAGATTGCAATTCATTAAGATAGGAAAAGATGGAATATATGCAAAGATTCAAATAGAATTTAGTCAATCGCAATTATTTTTTGAACACTTTAATAGTATAAGGTGTGCTCTTACTAAGTGCCACAGGGGAACAAGTTGTGAATTGTTATGAATTGATAACAGTAGTTAGGAATTAAGACTTCCTCAATAAATTTGCGGTCCGTGTGGGAGGACTGGATATATAGGAAGAGACAGCAATTAAGTAGCGGGGTATACAATCTGGCCAAACCCGGGTCCAGGTAAGTGGCCTCTCAAGGATCCTTTAAGCACATCCTCCTCTACCGCTCCGCAGATTCTGCCAGCTGCCAGCCCGGCCTCGGCACGCCCGCGATCAGACCTCAGGGACAGTTACCCTAGCCAGCGAGCGCGCGGAGCGGTCCGGTGCCTACGGCGGAAGTGAGACTAGGGTCCGTTGTTTCCCAGGACGTTCTCTGTGCTCTAGGGCTGCGCAGCCCTTATACGCGCAGATGCGACAGAAACCGGAGACACCTCGTGGCGACTGACTGTGAGCAGCTTGGTACCCGGTCCCCTCAGTCGGTCGACCACAGAGGTTTCAGACCTCCAAAATTCCTAGAGAGCTTCCGGAAGTGGCTTGGAGGCAAAATGCGTATTGGCCGGTCTTGTTCCTTCGCAGGTTTGGAAGTTAAGGGCCAGAGGGGCCTGGTACTATTGCGGCCTTCGGTACTTTTTCCCCCCGACTTTACCCAGGTCCGCTCAATCATTGCAGTCTCCCAGTTTCCATTCCCCACCCGGACAGCCTCTGGAACTCACGGTGAGTACGGTTCGGGCTCCGGGAGGGAGAAAGGGGAGGGCTTTGTGGCCAGAGCCGGCCGCTGCTGAGACAGGCCTGAGGGCCCTGGGGAGGGATCCTGGATCTCGATTGGCGCCTCGAGGTGGGGACGGGCAGCCCGGGACCGCTTTAGTTGCCAGTGCAGGCCTAGTCCGCGTCCCCAGGCTTTTTGTGTGGGAGCCTTTTATGGGGGTTCTCTTTCATCATCGCTGATTGTTTTGTGGGATACTTGCGGTCGATTTGTCTTAAAGTAGGAACCTGTCTCCACGTTACCTTTTATCCAACTATTTCTATGGGCTGAATTGTTTTTACTTATAATTTTGCATTCTGTTACAATAAAATTGTCCTTCCTAAAAAAACCCCAATTAAACATGGAAACCTATTTTGCTATTATTCTGTTCTCCGTAGTGTATTTAGAAAAAGGTAGTGTGTTGACTGGATGATTGTACAAAAGAAATAATTTTGACAACTTCGTAGTAATACAGAATTCAGCCTTTTTCATAATACTTCGTTTATAAAGCTAACTGACTATAAAGCCCAGAAACTGTTCAGGAGGGGCTCCCTTTCCAAAACTCGGGTCACTCATGAGTAGTTTTTGTTAGACAACACTAAGGCTGCCAATATTATCTCTAAAAACAATTCGTATCTCTTTGATTAGTTCATTTCAGTTAGGTATATTTATGCAATAATCAGTTTTAGCAAATACATACATATTTTTAATATTTGGTGTGGTTAAGTGTGAGAATGGTAGATGTTAAAGCTAAAGCCAACTTAGTGCAGTTTGAGATAACTATAAAGCACAGTATTTGCTTCACCCACTTTTTCTTGACCTTTAAATTAAAGCCTGGAAAACATCTATCTTGCTTTGTTTTATTTTCATTTCCCAAACATCTCAGATTTAATTACTCTAAAGAAAGAAAACATTCCTTCTCTGTTTACTGAAAAAATAATGCTGTCAAAATCTGAGTTGTGCTTTCAGTAATTCACAGGATTATAGCATTTGACTTGGGAAGAATCTTTACAAATTATTTATACTTATTAATTCAATAAATGTGATGAGCTGTTCTTAAACAGAATAGAAGCAGTCTTTATATATCACCAAGGTGCTTATCAGCTTAACACATATGTGTATATGTACAGCTGTTTGAGAGGAAGATGCATAGTGGACTTTTTGTCTTTGGTTAGTTAGATTGTAATTATCAAAAACTGGAGAGAGACAAGACTGAAAAATGGAAAATTAGCTACTAAAAAGAATAACATGGGGAATGGACAAGACTTCTTGGCTGATTTGCTATATAAAATACGAACATACCTGGTAATTAGATGACTTCCAGTTTCACTGTCAATACTTTATTTAATATCAGTTAATAGCATGATAATATATCGATCAAATATTTTAGTATATCTATAATGTAAATTTCTTGAACGGTGCACACTTACCATTGAAATATTTTATAGCTGGCAATGATGAATATTGATTTTAAGATGGAAGATAGCTCGTTGTTCAGTAAAGATGAATTTGGCTTTAAGGAAATTCATAAGAAAACATGATAAAGCCATGGCTGTGCAGCATCACATTCTAAACAATTAAGCTTAGAATTCATGTCTATGGTAATGAATTTTTAAGTTTCTTAATCATAAGTAGCTCTTTAAGAAAATTCATTAATTCATTAAATTTTAATTGATTTTTAAAATAAATCATTTTAAAAGGTGGGTGTTAATCTTCTCTGTTCAAAGCAATTAATTACCCCTTATCTCAAATCCTCCACAAAATTTTAACCTCTTGTCCAGATTCACTCTTTCTTCAAATCTCACAATTCCAGAAAATCCTCCCATTTCTCCATCAAGTCATCACCCATGAATTAAAGCCTCTAATGTTAATCACCTTATCTCTTGCTCCTTAGTTCCTTTTTTTTTTAAACTTTTTTTGAAGGTATTATTGATATACACTCTTATGAAGGTTTCACATGAAAAAACAATGTGGTTACTACATTTACCCAGACTATCAAGTTCCCCACCCTATATCCCAATGCAGTCACTGTCCATCAGTATAGTAAGATGCCACAGATCCACTGTTTGCCTTCTCTGTGCTACACTGTTTTCCCTGTGACCCCACCCCCCCACACCATGTGTACTAATCATAATACCCTCAATCCCCATCTCTCTCCGTCCTGACCTGCCCTCCACACCCTTTGGTAACCACTAGTCCCTTCTTGGAGTCTGTGAGTCTGCTCCTGTTTTGCTCCTTCAGTGTTTCTTTGTTCTTATACTCCACAGATGAGTGAAATCATTTGATACTTGTCTATCTCCACCTGGCTTATTTCACTGAGCATAATACCCTCTAGCTCCATCCATGTTATTGCAAATGGTAGGATTTGTTTACTTCTTATGGCTGAATAATATTCCATTGTGTATATGTACCACATCTTTATCCATCCATCTACTGATGGACACTTAGGTTGCTTCCATTTCTTGGCTATTGTGAATAGTGCTGCGATAAACGTATGGGTGCATATGTCTTTCTCAAACTAGGCTGCTGCATTCTTAGGGTAAATTCCTAGGAGTGGAATTCCTGGGTCAAATGGTACTTCCATTTTTAGTTTTTTGAGAAACCTCCATACTGCTTTCCGCAATGGTTGAACTAATTTACATTCCCACCAGCAGTGTAGGAGGGTTTCCCTTTCTCCACATCCTTGCCAACTTTCTATTTCTCCTCTTTTTTCTTCCTCTTTCATTCTTTATATATTAGGTATCAAATTCTGTACTTTTTTGTCTATCCCTTGATTGACTTTGGGGATAGTCAATTTAATTTTGCATTTGCTTCACAATCAGCTGCTCCACCGTCCCTACCGTGATTTTACTACCTCTGGTGACAGCTATCCAACCCCAGGAACACTTCCATCTATAGCAGTCCCTCCAAAATAGACTGCAGAGATGGTTTGTGGGAGGTAAACTCTCTCAGCTTTTGCTTATCTGGAAGTTGTTTTGTTTATTTATTTATTCATTCATTCATTCATTCATTCAGAGAGGGCATCTCTCATATTTATTGATCAAATGGTTGTTAACAACAATAGAATTCTGTATAGGGGAGTCAATGTTCAATGCACAATCATTAATCCACCCCAAGCCTAATTCTCATCAGTCTCCAATCTTCTGAAGCATAATGAACAAATTCTTACATGGTGAACAAGTTCTTACATAGTGAATAAGTTGTTACATGGTGAACAGTACAAGGGCAGTCATCACAGAAACTTTCGGTTTTGATCATGCATTATGAACTATAAACAATCAGGTCAAATATGAATATTTGTTTGATTTTTATACTTGATTTATATGTGGATCCCACATTTCTCCCTTTATTATTATTATT